TGTAAGCATCCTCTCCAGCCCTGGCCAAAGCTAGTTATTCCCTGGGCTAAAACCAACTTGAGAACTTGGGGACCCTGCCAAAGCCTTGACAGCCCCTAAGCCTGGCTGTGTTGCCAGAGCCACACAGGAAAGTCATTAATTCTTTAAATAAAGGTTCAGTAAATGACTGTGGAGCCCGCTATTTGTTGAACAGTGGGCTAGATGGATAGAGGATATCTGGGCATTCACTTTAAGGGACCTAGAATATTTGGGGAAGAGGAATAAAGACATAACACTCTTTTAAAAGTTAACTAACATCACAAGAGGTGCCACTCAAAGCAGTATGTAAGTAAATGCCAAATGACCTTTCAGAAGAGGGAGCTTTCAGAGCGTGAGTTGCTGCAGTCAGAGAAAGAGGGACATTGTGATGGGAGTGGAGCAAGCCTGGGCTTTGGAGCCAGACAGACTGGGTGTAGATCCTCATTGTGTGATTATGGAGAAAGTTCCTCACCCTCTCTGGACCTCAGTTTCCTTATCTGTGGAATACACATGATGGTGGCCGCCTTGCAGAGTTGTTAAGATTACATGAGGTATTTGCACACAGCAAGACTCAGTAAATGTTTGAGTTTTTTTTTTTTTTTTTTTTTTTTTTTAAAGAAAACCACAGAGTAGCTGAGAATAGAAATTTAGGTAGGATTGGCCCAGGGGAAAACAAGCAAAAGCCAGTCCTTGGAAAAGGGGAAGGGGGGGTTATTATGGGAAAAGTTATCATATCTACTGGATAGTTTAGGAAGTGGAAAGGTAGAGGGAAGTTTTCTGTTTTCTTTTTAACATAACATTTATAATTTTTCCCTGGATATGAAAACATATCATGTCTATTATAGAAAATTTGGAAAGCATAGAACAATGCAAAAAAGAAGGAAGTACAATAAGAAAGTAAAAACCAGCCATAATTCTGCACCCAATGAAAATCCCTATAAACATTTTGGTTTCCCTTCCAATCTTTTCCTAAGGCACATTTTAACACAACTGAGATCACACTATACATACTGTTTGAAACCTGCTTTTTGTGCCAACATTCACAAGCATTTTCCCATGTCATTTACATTTTTTCACAACCACCATTTGTAATGGCCACATGGAATTCCACATGTAGATGTACCAAAATCTTCTCAACTTTTCCACTAGCAGTGGCCATTTAGGGCCGTTCAAACATTTCACCATTATAGATAATGCTTCTGTGAATACATGTGTGGCATTAATCCTATTTCCTTAGGATGAGTTCCCATAGGTAGAATCACTGTTCTAAGGTTCCTGCTAAATACAGCCAAACAGCTTTCCAGAGAGCTTGTCCCAACCCACTTCCCCACCAGTCATGCAAGAAAATTGGCTTTATCAAATCCTGAAACTGAATATTATCTTCGAAAAGTTTTTTACCTAATTTGATAGTCACAAAACAGCATTTCATTGTTCTTAATTATCTTGCTTCCTTTTGGCAGATACACCTAAAAGGATCTGACACAGGCCCTCAGATAAACGAAGGAGCTTCCTTTTGTCTGCAAACAATCAACAAATATTGATTGTGCAAACCATTTTACCCCTGCTTTGTCCTCTCTCCCTTTTTGGAAAGGGTTGGAAGATTCCAACTTTCAGGTTTTAGCCACCGTAAAAAGAGGAGTTTTGAGGTAAAATGCAGCTAACATTCCGGGTCGGAACGTATTGATTTTGCCACTACCAAGCTTCCTTATTAAAGCAAGTCATGTAACCTGTCTGAAATTCTAGTCCTTCAAACGTAGGATGCCTGTCCAACCTAGTTTATGAAAATGTGGAGGTCCTGAAGTTGTAATGATTTAATAACAGTAAAAGTGCTTTGAAAAGGTTTTTTTTTTTTACTTCTACATAATGAATACTTTTGATTATTATGATTGATTTTATCTGTTCATTACTATGTATCCTAAATTGGCAACCTCTGAGAGTCTCACCTCCTGACCCCAATATCAGCTTTCCGGTATCATCGGTAAAGAGCGGAGTAGACGGAGTAGACGAGGAGCTTCGCCGACTAACGTTAGTAAAGGGACAACAAACGGGAGGCGCGGTTTTATTGGGGGGAGGGTGGGAGGGGGCGAGGCGGGGAGGGAGGGTCAACTCTGGACAAATCCTCTCCTTGGGCCGTCCCGGGGCTAGAGGGCGTATGGGGTCCGCGTCACGGCGCAGCCATAGCTCCCCAAAGCACACGCCGGCACCTCGGTCCCGACTGTCAGCCTGCGGTCAGTCTGCTTGCGGTCTCACTATTTCCCCGCCCCGCCTACACTCCCTCCCGGGCCCCACCCAGGCCAGGCGCCGGCGGAAAGTGGCGGGAGGCTGAAAAGCACAGTCTGGGCGCCCAGTGCAAACCGTTTAAACACGCAAGCCTCCCCTGCTGCCTCCACAGCCCCGTCCATCTCTTCCACTTCACCCGTGCTAACGTTTGTCCTCCTGCAAGAGTTGTGGAAGACGCCACACGTGCCGTCTGAAGGGCTGCGTTCAAGCCCGGCTTGGAATCCAGGGCAATCCCTGACATTTCCTCCCTCTCGCCTGTTTCCTCAGAGTGCACGCCTTGTCTTCTGCTTCTCCTCTGTATCCCCACCGCCTAGAATAATGCCTGGCACGCAGTCGGCCCTCAGTAAATACGTTGAATAAATGCATCTGTGTAATGGTAACCCCACCCTACAGGGTTGTGAAAATGAATGAGTGATGATGTGAAAGTGCCTCGTGACACTATTCACTAAATTTTTCTTATAGTAAAGCACATTTTTGTAATTTTTTTTTTAAAAAGTACTATTCATGAATTGGTTACCACTATTGACATTCCTAAGGAGTCCTGATGGCGCAATGGTTAAACACTCCGCTGCTGACCGAAAGGTCGGAGGTTCCAACCCACTAGCAGCGGGAGAAAAGACCTGGCAATCTACTCCCTGAAAGATTGCAGTCTAGAAAATCTTATGGAGCAGTTTTACAAGGTCACAACGCGTCGGAATGGACTGGAGGGCACACAACAACATTGACATTCCTGCCAGGAATACAAATCTATTTCTCCATCACCTCTTCTTTTCTCCCTTTTCAGGATTATGCCAAATCCCACCTTCTTCTGAAAATGTTTCCTGATCGTCTACTCCTGACCTTGGTGCTATTACTGTGAACGTGCACGTATAGTCACATACAGTTGTGTTCCGAAGAAAGGATCTTAATTTATCTTCTGAATGGGCGCAATCTGATGTAAGAGCGTGGCAGGGAGTCAGGCTCTCCGGCCCCACTTACAGCAGTGCCACCTACTGGTTGGGTTACTCCGGCAACTCGCTTCCCCTCTCTAGGTCCCAGTGTCTCCAAGTGTACAATTCCCGGGTCTGGAATTCCACCCACGGGAGCAAGGATGGATGCTCCCCGCAGGGACGCGTCCCTGGCCCTCGCTTCCCACCTCCCTCCAGGCGCATCCTGCTTTTCCAAATTCACGGACTCCTCTGGACTGCCCTCCCAGCCTGGGAGCCTCAACTTGACAGCAGCTGAGCTGCATCCGCTTGGAGACTTCCCAGGTCAACTCCTCCAGAGGAGCCTCAGCGCCCACCGCTCCGCCCCTCCCTCGTGTCTTCCCCTCTCCCCCCCCCTCCCCGCCTTCCCTCCCCGCCCCGCCCCGCCCACGTGACGCATGCGCCGCAATCGGAGCGTGTATAAAAGTCCAGCTTCTGCCAGAAACTTCGGTTTGTTGGTTGAGGCAGCAGGTAGGCAAAGTGACCCTGAGGACTTGGGTTTTTCGGTAGCCACCGCGGCGTTGAAGAGCAAGCGGTTACCATGGACGGAATCAGTGTAAGTCCACTTTCAACCTGCTTTCTCTTAAACGTACGAATGCATAAACTTGGAACGCAGCCCCTCTCCGAGCCGGCAGAAGCGATCTGAACATTGGAGATGCCCGTTCCTGGAAGAGGGGGGCAAGGAAAGGAGTTCTCAGGCGTATGGCTGCACAGGAGAGTAGGGTTGGAATATTTTTCTCGTAAGTAGAGAAGGAAAGATTGGAACGGCCGTTTCGGTGATTGGTTGTGTCTCCCCCTTGAGTCCCGCGCGCGCACCGGGCTTGCACGCTGTTTGCAAACATAGGAATATGCTGTGCACAAGTGCAGAGAAGGCATGCACGCTGCTCCGAGACTTAGATGGAAGGTCTCTTCCCGGGGAAGGGGGATTTCTTGGAGCGAGTTATATTATCTGAATTTAGAGGCGGAGTTGAGTTCCCAGAGGGAGGCTGTGCCCCGCCGGGTTAACTTTGGGCAAAGGCGCCTGGGAACCGCTCTAGACGTTGGGTGCGTGTTTACTAAACTCTGCGTGGTCGGCGGAGGTGTGCCAGTCCTCGGGCATAGTGGCAAAGGGTGGGAAAGGCGAGCGAACCCACCGCGTCGCTTGCCTGAGTGGGAGCAGCAGCTATTAAGGGGCCGAGAGCAGCCCGCGCGCCTTGGGGTTGAAGGGGAGACCTAGACGTTCGGAGCGCACCCCTTCCCCCCGGCCGCAGGGTGGGCCCCAGGGCTCGGGAGTTTGATATCTTGCCGAGGTCGAAGGGGTATAAGCAGGTACCGCGCAGCAGCCGCTGGAGGTGCGCGCGGCGACAGAGGCAGGGAGCGGGGGGCGAGAATTGGGAGGTCACCTGGATTTGCCCGGACGTCCCCGCGCAGACGGGCAGGTGTGAGCGCAGAGACCGTTTGACTCCCTGGGAGCCCAACTGCGCCGTTTAACCGTCGGGGGTTTCCTGGAGCCTTTGAAACCCCCTTGCTAGTGAGGCTTTTTGTCTCCTCCCGCGGAGCGCAATTCAAAGTTGCTCGGGGCGGAGCCGCTTAAGCGCTCCTCAGCACCCTGCGGGACTGAGTCCGGTGTGCAGGGATCGGAACCTCTCGAGCTGCTGCCCGCCCACGGTGGGCGGCGGAGGCGGCCCGGAGCTGGACACCTCGGCCGCCAGCGCGCCCACTGCCTGGACCCTCCCAGCTGCCGACCTCTGAACCCACTAGCTGGCTCAGTGGCGGGGTGGGAAGGGACCCGGGAGAGTGAGGAAATGAAACTTGGGTCGAGAACCACGGGTTCAAACCCCGTGACCTTCCCTACCCAGGAAAATGCCGCGCCTCTTAACGTCCCAAATGCCCAAGTGATAAACACAAGTATGGCAAAGGAGACGCACGCCTTTGAGACTGGGGAGGAGTACCAAAAAAAAAAAAAAAAAAAAAAAAACCAAACCCGTTGCGCTCAATTCTGACTCATAGCGACCCTATAGGGGTGGGGTACCGATTTACTCCCTACTGACACCCACGCCCAGTACTCGGACCACTCCACTTGCTTTACGGCGGCATTCTCCTTCCCCACCACATGTTGCTTGAACTACAGAATGGTTTGTATATTTTAGACAAGCGTGGGGAAAAAACCGTTTTGTGTCTTGGGAGAATTCAGAGTACTCCTCCCGCCTCTTTCCTCTCTTCTGGAGAATCTTCATGTAGAATGTTAATCCCAGCTTCGCGGAACACGAGATTCTACCTCCATTCTCATGCCGCCTGGGAGTGGCCTCTTTGTGTTTTTTTTTTTTTTTTTTTTTTTTTCTTTCTTGCCTAGAGTGGGCAGGGCAGAAGAGTTAGCAAGGATGCAGCTTTGAAACCTCAGAAACTCAGCGCCCTTTTGTTCTAAACAAAGAATTTTGTAATTGGTTCTACTAAAGACAGTGTGATGAGTGACTGGGGGAACGTGGGTGGGGGGATGGTTAAGATTCTATAATGCTGCTAGTGTGCCCTTACCCAGTACTTCCGTGGGGAGCAGAATTTCCTAAAGGAGGCTGGGCTGAGTTGGATTTTATAAATTGTTTTTTTAAATCTCAGAAATATATTTCTAACTTGCCTGCTGAACTTCGAAGTAAATGGCCTTTCCCTTGCCTCTTTTGCAGTTCTTCACTATAGATAATGACACGGAGGAAGTGGGCTCAGGTGACTATGACTCCATAAAGGAACCGTGCTTCAGGGAAGAAAATGCTCATTTCAACCGATTCTTTCTGCCTACCATCTACTCCATCATTTTCTTGACTGGCATAGTGGGCAATGGATTGGTCATCCTGGTCATGGGTTACCAGAAGAAACTGAGAAGTATGACGGACAAGTATAGGCTGCACCTGTCAGTGGCGGACCTCCTTTTTGTCGTCACGCTTCCTTTCTGGGCGGTTGATGCGGTGGCAGGCTGGTACTTTGGGAAGTTCCTGTGCAAGGCGGTCCATGTCATTTACACTGTCAACCTCTACAGCAGCGTCCTCATCCTCGCCTTCATCAGTCTGGACCGGTACATAGCCATTGTCCACGCCACCAACAGTCACGGGCCAAGGAAGCTGTTGGCTGAAAAGGTGGTTTATGTTGGCGTCTGGATACCCGCCCTCCTGTTGACTATTCCCGATTTCATCTTCGCTAATGTCAGTGAATCAGACGAGAAATACATCTGTGACCGCTTCTACCCCAGTGATTTGTGGATGGTCATGTTCCAGTTTCAGCACATCATGGTTGGCCTCATCCTCCCGGGGATCGTCATCCTGTCCTGCTATTGCATTATCATCTCCAAGCTGTCACACTCCAAGGGCCACCAGAAGCGCAAGGCCCTCAAGACCACTATCATTCTCATTCTGGCTTTCTTCGCCTGCTGGCTGCCCTACTACATTGGGATCAGCATCGACTCCTTCATCCTCCTGGAAATCATCAAGCAAGGCTGTGAATTTGAGAACACTGTGCACAAGTGGATTTCCATCACCGAGGCCCTCGCCTTTTTCCACTGTTGCCTGAATCCCATCCTCTATGCCTTCCTTGGGGCCAAGTTTAAAACCTCTGCCCAGCATGCGCTGACCTCTGTGAGCAGAGGGTCCAGCCTGAAGATCCTCTCGAAAGGAAAGCGAGCTGGACATTCTTCTGTTTCAACTGAGTCTGAATCTTCAAGTTTTCATTCCAGCTAACACTGATTTTTAACAGACTTTTTTTTTAATACCATAAAGAACATTTAAGTTACACATTTTTCAGATATAAAAGACTGACCAATACTGTACAGTTTTTATTGACTGTTGGATTTTGTCTTGTATTTTTTAGTTGTCGTGAGGTTTAATTGATTTATTTATATAAATATTTTTTTGTTTCATGTTGATGAGTGTCTAGGCAGGACCTGTGGCCAAGTTCTTAGTTGCTATGTGTCTGATCGTGTAGAAAAGGGAACTGAACATTCCAGAGTGCGTGGTGAATCACGCTAAGCTAGAAATGATCCTCAGCTGTTTGTACATAAATAATCTCTCCATTCCAGTGGAATTTTTCTTTTTTTTTCCTCCTGTTCTTAAGTTTGGTTACACTGTGTGACTGCTGTAGAAGATGGCACTTATAACCAAAGCCTCAAGTGTTATATAAATGGTGGTTTTTCAGTTTTTCAGGAGTGGGTTGATTTTAGAATCTACAATGTACAGTCTTTGTATTAAGTTGTTAATAAAAGTACATGATAAACTTAGTGTTATGTTCTATTTTCTATCAATTTTCCTCTGGCTGTCAAAAAAAAAAATAACAATAGTTATGGCTTGCCAGGTCTTGTCCTAGGTAACTTTAGTTGTAATATTTAAGCCTTATCACAACTCTATGATAGATTCTGGTTCTATCATTATTTACATTTTATAGATGAGGAAGTAGGCACAGAAAGCCTAAGTGATGTGGTCAAAGTCAATGTGCTAGTGACAGAGCCAATATTTGAAACCAGGTAGCAGTGATTAAGAGCTCGGCCATTAACCAAAAGATCAGCAGTTCGAATCCACCGGCCATTCTTAGGAAACCCTATGTGGCAGTTCTGCTCTGTCCTATTGGGTCGCTATGAGTCAGAAGCGACTGGATAGCAATGGCTTTGGTTTGGTTTAATGTGACTTAAGAATCTGATGCCTTAACTTTGAGATGGAAGTTTAGAAGTGTCCAGCTAGTACCCATTCCTATAAAAGATAATTTTTCTGCAGGATAAATGTGTGTAAAGAAGAACACATATGTGATACAATGCTTTAGACTTTACTACTACAATTCCCAGGTGTAAAGTATATAATCTAAATCTGAGCCATGCGAGCATTGTACGTTTTTCTCATTTACTACTCTCAGGGTGTAGACACCATTACTCCCTTTCACAGATAAGGAAACAGGTTCAAAGACTTAAGTAACTTACCAGGTTCCCACACAGTTCCCAGGAGCTGATTGCATTTCTCACTCCCAGCCCTTGCTCATAACCTCTACCCGCTGTTGTCCCCCAGAACACCTGGTCGTAGGTCAACTGAACTGTTATTGAAAATAAAGCCAAAAGTAAATGTTTTCTTCATAAAGTTAGCTATGCCAAAAATACCCTCTTGCAATATCTTCTATGCAAATTGACACTTTTATTCTTAATCTACTGCAACACCTAGCACCACCTCAAGGGTTCAGTGAAGCAGCTAAAAGTTAATCTTGGTGCTTTTAGAGAACCGTCCACTGAAGCAAGCTCCACATTGCCCATATTTTGCACAAGATTTTGGAATCTTGTGTAACATCACTCATAGCTATTTACACTATATTGTGTAAACCCCAGGCTCTTGAGCAAATTTCAGCTCCAGTCTCCATTTAAAGATAATCTCTAAACCACTAGCCATACATACACCTCACTTTGGAACATAAACAGGGCACTCCCGGCATGCACTCTTAAGATAATCACCAGGATATAATTAAGCAGTATTTGGACTACTTTTAGTAATTGTTTCTGACACAGAAAATCCATTTTGGAGGAAAAATTGCAATGTCTTATCTTTCTGAGGAAAATCGCATTTGTTCAAGGCAAATTATAGATCCTGTAAAGGGAAATAACTTAATTACTTAAGATAGAATCCGATTTGGCTGTACATTTTGCTGCAGTCTATGGATCTGGGATAATTCAGAGTGGTATTCCTATTCCACTTGAGAATACAATTAGATTTCAGATAGGAAATTATCTTGAGGTTTCTTGGTTTTCCCTGGGAAGCCTAATTAGATCACCCTTCATTTAAGCATAGTTTTACATGTACTCTCTCAAAGGCTTAGTCTTAAAGCATTGACGATTGTAAAAGACTTCACTTGAACTTTATAAATATTTATTCTCAAGGAGACAATAGGAGAAATCCTTGGAAGGAATGCTTTCTCTTTCTCATCTTGGCTTGAAAGCTCGTTGCCCCAGATTCCTCTCCCTATGCCATGGAGTCACAACAAAAGGAACTGAGCCGAAACAAAATTCCTGGTCTCACCAGTCTTAATGGAGATTTCATTCTCCCGTGGAACGAAGGCAGTATATCTTTTTTCAAAAAAAAAAAAAAAAAAAGTGTTGGCTCTCTCCCTTCCCCAAAAGGGTGCCCCCAGTCATTCTCTGTCCCGACCCTGCCAGGTTCGGAGCTGCTCGAAAGCCTTCCCTGTATCATGGTTTGTCTGATGATGCAGAGAAAGCCAGTCTGCTGGCCAGCTCTTGCATGAAGTAGCTGATTGTTCCCTCCCCTCATCCCTTATGAATGGGGCCCTTGAAGGTGAGTAATGTAGATCCAGTAGTACAATGGAAGCTAAAATATTTAAGTTGTATGCATGCTGCCAATAATGGCATAAATTTCACATCTGAGTAATTATGACATTAAGCCTGTAATGGGGAAGGAAAGTGGACATATTTATCCTGCAAAGATTTTGCTTTCTTAAAATGTCACTTGGGATTTCACCTCCCCCTACCCTGGGCTTCCCAGCCTCCTTTTGTGGCTATGTTTGTATGAAAATAATTCTGGAGTGTTCTTTTAGGAGGCTGCCCTACAGACTTTAATAATTCGTCTAAGTGTGCATGGCTTTCTGCTAGCTTATTGTCAAATCTTAATAAAGATTCCACAAACAAAATTAGATTATCGTTAAACCTAAACCTAACCCATTGCTGTCAAGTGGATTCCAACTCATAGCGACCCTATAGGACAGAGTAGAACTGCCCTAAAGGGTTTCCAAGGAGCTGCTGATGGATTGGAACTGCCAACCTTTTGGTTAGCAGCCATAGCTCTTACCCACTGTGTCACCAGGGCTCCAGATTATCATTATTCCCATGTAATAACTCACTTAGAAGGAGCAAGGACCCCTGGGACAAAATCCAGATTACCTCAGAGAATAATCCAGGTAGCCCCCAACACTTAGAACTGTGGTGTTGCAACCGGCATCATGGGGATGTGCCCAGCTTGCTTTGAGGAGGCTTCCCACCTGGCTGCCAATGTGGCTTAGCCAGTCAGTGCTGGGATGATCCGTAAGTAGTTGGACAAATGACCCTTCCTTGAGTACCACCTAAGAGAGAAATATTGGCACCTCAGGGACCCATAAAGAAGTTGAAAAGAATCCTTTTAAAGCCATGGTTCTCAACCAGGGATGATTTTGCCCCTCAGGGAACATTTAGCCATATTTGGAAACGTTTTGGGTTTTCAAACTTGAGGGAAGGGATAAGTGGTACTGGCATCTAGTGGGTAGAGGCCAGGATGCTGCTAAATATCCTACAAAGCACAGGACAGCCCCCACAAGAAAGAATTATCCATCCCAAAATGTCCGTAGTGCTCCAGGTTGAGAAGCCCTTTTTTAATGTGAGGATCATGGGACAATAATAACTGTTAAATCAAGGTTACATCCAACCAGTCTGATTCTATGAAATAGCATGAATCATGAGGAGTTTGCTATCATGCGATGGGGTTCCAAGGCTTCCCTTTAGCCTCCTTTAACCAGTTGCAGTCGAGTCAACTCCAACTTATGGCAATCTCACGTGTGTCAGAGTAGAACTATGCTCCATAGGGTTTTCAGTGGCTGACTTTTCGAAAGTAGATCACCAGGCCTGGGTGGACTCAAACCTCCAACCTTTCCATTAGCAGCTGAGCGTGTTAACTGTTTGCACCACCCAGGGACTCCTTAGCCTCCATTACTTGATCTCATTTCAATGCCTTCTTAGTCAACTCACAATTCTCTTCCACTCTTATTTCAGTGTTGCTTTGATATCACAAACACAGCTTTCTGTTTGTTTGTTTTCTTCTCTTACTATATTATCAGCTTGTCAAGAGCAGGGACTCTATCATTTCTTTTCTATTCCCTGAATAGGCTGCCACATGGCATACTGTGAAGACATCCCACCAAGGAAAATAAATGGTAGAAGGATAACTGCTGAGGATTCTCTAGTTTCCCATCAAGTATCTGTTTCTTTAAAGACCATGATGTTTACTCAATTAATCCTCACCACTACCGATAACTCAGTTTGGACCACCCCATTTTTCTTCTTTAAAAAAATAAACACGGAACGATGAGGTACCAGCCCCTTGTTCCACGTTTGCAACTGATTTGGATTAATTTAAATCAATCCTCTTAATTCCAACAATTAAAACCTTTTGAAAAACCTTGCTTTCAACTGAAAATGCAAGCTGGTTGCAGGCAGAATTGAGGGATCCAAAATGTTAAGACACCACAGAAGGGAAACAAATTTTTCAAAATCAAACAAATAAAGGTGCTCAACCAAACCATGCCAGGTGCTGGGTGTTTATCAGGCAGAGCCGATAAGGTTGATTTACATATTACAGTTCAATTAGCTAAAACCCAACTCATCAACACTCTTAATTAAACTGAATTACTTCCTCATATTTGACTCTGTCAGAAGGAAAGTAATATTTATTGAGAGCTCACTAAATTCCAGGCAGTTATAGACAAGTGATACTCACAACAGCCCCACAAGTTAGATTTTGCTAGCTACATTTGCAAGCAAAGACCCAAAACAGACTGAGAAATTAAACTACAAATGGAAGGGTTATGTTCTTTCCACTCTGTACACAATACATGGCATTAAAACAGAACCATCAGATTCTGGGGCATGTCCTTAAGTTCTCTATATATTCCGTCCAACTTTTCTATCTTTTCTATTTCTAGATGGTAACAATAATAGTCACCATTTATGGAGGGCTTAAGACACACCAAAGTACTTTGATAATTTAATCCTCACAACGGCCCTATGAAGAAGGAACTATTATTTTGCCTGTTTTATAGATTGGGAAACTGAGGCATAGAGCACAGTTTAAAATGTACCCAACATCACATATTCAATGAGTAGTAAAGCCTGGATTTGAACCAGGCCATCTGACACAAGACTTTACTTCTTGAGGTGACTTTACTGCTTTCAATGTTAGCCAATATTCAGGATAATAACCATGAGATCAAAAAGATCCTCCATGCTCTTCAGGATTCTACAGGGTTCAATACTGGACACTCTCTTAATTGTACTTTCTAAAATGACAAAGCAAACACTGACCTCTTAGAAAGCTTTTCACTGTAAGTGGTTGAAGTAAAGTGGGTTTCAAGTTATCCTGATAACACCATGCCTGGCACATAGTATGAGCTCAATAAGCACTTGTTGAATGAAAAAAATGAATGAACACCTATAAATTTCTATTCACAAGGGCATGTGTTCTCTAAGCATTCTGATTAATGTTGGTG